TCTGAAGTGTTACTTTATTTCTTATAGTACAAGATTAAAGAGTACTAAAGTCTTTTATCCATTGTTATTCTATCAACCTGAATAAAAGCTGGTCTTGTTTCTTCCAATACCATAGTTTCATAGCTGAAAACAATTTCATCTAGTCTAAAGTTTTATGATTTAGTTAATAGGGGAATTCATTCACCTTTAAAATAAAGCAACAAACAGTTGAAGATTAATAAGTAGCAGAAGGAAGAGAAAAACTTATACTACTTTTCTCCTTTATTTGTTGTTATTCAGCAGTTTCAGTCATGTCAGAATCTTCTTGACCCCATTTGGGATTTTCTTGGCAAAGATACTGGAATGGTTAGCTGTTTTCTTCTCCAGCTCATTTTACAGATGAGGAAACTGAGGCAAACAGTTAAGTGAATTGCTTAGGGTCACACAGCTAGTAAACTGTATCTGAGCCATATCTGAACCCAGGTCTTCCTGATTCCAGGCCCAGTGCTCTGTCAGTAATACTGTGCCACCTAGTTGTGCCATTTCCTTTATTAGGAAACTTAAAGACGTAAGACGACTACCACACTAGAGTCATAAGGACAAGTCAATAACCAGGCTTAATGATTAATGTTAAAAGTATTAAAATCTTTAAAAATCCATCATTAAGTCAAATATATCAAATGGTTAAATGATGTACTCTTCCAAAACACCCCAAGTCTCCAAATTTAGGGGAAAAGAAATTTGGTTCTGCAAGTGAAGATCAAGGCACCACTATATGAGGTGTGGAAGATATTGGCAAAACTTCACCTAAAACTTTGCCTGGACTACTACAATGGCTTTCTAAATGGTGCCTTTCCCTCTTGAATCCACCTTCCACATAGCTACCAAAGTAACATTTCCAAAGCACACATCTGACCATGTCACTTCCCTGCTTAAAAAATTCCAGTGACTTCCTACTGCTTAATATTCCAACAAAAACGGCCTACTTGCTATTAGCTCCTGATCTCCATTACGTTACAGAGCTGCCACCATGCCTGAAATGCACTTCTTCATCTGCCTCAGAATCTTTAGCTCTCAATCAATAAGCATTTACTAAGTAACCATGTCAATACTAGGTATATAGACAAAAATCAGTCGTTACTAATATTTACATTCTATCAGGGTACATAATGTGTATATGTATATATAGCTTGGATATACATGTATGTACAGAATATCTGTTGTGTACACATGCATGCAAATATGTATGTATGTACAGAAGGTCATACCAAGTTGGGGTGGGGAGGGAGAAGAAATTCATAAAGGATTCATCTAAAAGTTGAGCTGGAATTTGAAAGAAAACTAGGGTTTCTAAGAGGAGGAAGGTGCCTCCTTTAAGCTCAGCTGAGGGCTATCCTTATCTCTTTCCCAATTACATTTTATTTATTTTATTAATTTTGCATTACTTAAATGCATAAAAGCAGTCTCCCTCAAATAGAATATAAGTTTATCAAGGGCAGGAACTGTTTCATTTTTGTCTTTGTATCCCCAGTACACTGTCATGAGCACATAGTAGTTGCTTGCTAAAGAGTTTGCTGAGTGATTAAAAATACTTTGTGGTATCTGAGGAATTTCTGGGCCTATGTGTGAGAAGAAGAACTAGGTCAATATTTACTTGATGGGATTTTTTGAAGCTATTTTTTAGTTTGGTTTGTTTTCTAAGTCGAGTATCGAGCTGAAAATTCCTCTTGATGGAAATGCAAAGTCTCTTTTGAGAATCACCAAATTCTGAGGAAGGGATCATACTACTCAGAAATTGAAGACAGGATATAAACAAGAATAAATAAGATGAGGAAAGTAGAAGTGGGGCAGCGGTGTTTGTGAACAGAGAGGATAACTTCTATAACAATAAAGAAAAATCTGTATTTTAGGTTAAAAGGTTAAAACCCAAAGACACTTTCCAGAGTCACTCAATCTAGCAACAAGTCTTTGTCCCATGTATTATAGAGAAGTCCCAAACTTAAAACAGATTTTCTTCTAAAAGCTGGTTTGTAAATCCCTTGTTTGGAATCTGGAACACATTTTCCTATGGAAACAATGTTATGAGTGGTGACTAGGTTCCCAAGCTTGCCTACAAAAGCCTATTTAATGCAAATGTAACAAATGCTGTATATTAGAAATAAAAAGAATGAAATATTGTTTTAAAGAAAATTAAATAGTTTCTCCTCAATGTGAATGCTGGTTTTTGAAAGGAGTTTAAGAAGACAAAGAAATATATGATTACATTTGTCAGGTATTTATGAGTCCTTTCTAACAGCTTTAGAGATTGATGGTACTTAGGGCTTTTATTATGTCCAATTTCATCTCTAAACTTGATGGCTTTTTTTTCTTAACTGAGATATATCATAAGTACTACTCATGGTCATAATTAGGGTCTTTCAAAATGATAAAAGAGAAGCGAATAAAAAGGGTAATGAGAGCAAAAAAGGACAAAATCACAGGACTTCAGATGTCCAAGGGTCCTAAGAAATCTTTTAGTCCCACCCCTCATTTTATAGGTGAGGAAACTGAGGCCTAAGTCCTCTGATTCCTAATCAAATGTTTCCTTTACACTATGCCTCCTCATGTGCAAAGTATTACAAAGAAAAGATAGATGACTTTATATGGAGAAAGCCTGAGGCAGAATTAATTAAGCTATACTTGGTGAGAGGAATATGTAACAATATAATCAATTAAACTTACACCATAAGTATTTACATTTAAACAAATGAATAATTCAAACCATAAAATGTTACAACTCTTCAATCACTCTTCTAAAGCTTCATTACTCGTCCAGCCATTTTTTACTGACTTTCCTCTTATATGGTCGTAGTAATAAGAGTATACCATTTTTCTGGTACTAGTTTGTTGTTGTTATTGGTCTACATTATTTCTTAATGAGTTTGCCATATTTTCTTATATTCCTCATATTTATCAAGTTTAGCTGTGTTACAGCCTTGTGTTATAAAATGTAACACAGAAAGGCTTGTAAGGCACAGTGGATGTAGAGCTGACCTTGGGTATCAAGAAGATCTGGGTTCAAGTCCCAGCTCTGACATACTTGTTCTGTGACTGTGGGTAAGCTACATAACTGAATACCTTGTCCCAGGTAATTCTCTCAGATTACAAATTACTGAAGGGTTTACCTCTACCAATGTAGATTGGCTTTTCTTCACCAGAAATCCTCATGAACAATGAAGTAAAAAGTTCAAACAAAGAAACAAAAATTTTTTTACGTAATATTTATTTCTTACAATGTATTCAATCATTGCCCTTTGTCAGGCATTTGTACTGCCTCTATGTTTATTTAGTGGGGTGGGGGTGGGGAGGGAGTACATTATATATAATGCCAAAGAGAACTTTGGTTTTTAAAAATATCACTTTTAAGAGTATATTCCAAATGATGAAATCATTGGGTTAAATGATACGCTTATTCTAGTAAGTTTTACTGTTTAATGTGGTTTTTATTGTGAGTAAGATACTGGCTGGAAAGCAGGTTTTGATGAACATGAAAAAAGGGATAATATCTAAAGGTAAAGAATACATGAACTAGGACTATGTTGCTTGTACTGGAAACCAGCTTTCGGACTAATGGCTCAGGAATGCTGGGGACAGGCCCTAGAGACAGAGGAGGCTCATTAATCCCTCCCCTGTGATCTTGGGCAATTCAATGCTTTTTTTTTGGCTAGGCAATGGGGTTAAGCCCAGGGTCACACAGCCAGTAAGTGTTATGTGTCTAAGGCCACATTTGAACCCAGGTCCTCCTGAATCCAGGGCCAGTGCTCTACCCACTGCTTCACCTAGCTGCCCCATGGATAAGTCACTTAAACTTAGTAGCACTCAATTTCTTCTTCTTCAAATGAGGGAATAGGACTAGATTGTCTCTGGAGACCCTTCCGAATTGAGATGTGTGATCCTATGAATGCCCTAAGTAGGAGTCCTTAAAACCACTGTTTAAAAACATAACAAAACAAAAAAACCCTGTCTCAAGCCAATCTGCTTATTCAATGGAGTTTAGCCAACCAAACTTTCTGTTATCTACTTACTGCTTGCAGATCCTAAGCTACAATTTGAAGAATCAGCCCTAACAGCTCAGAATAGTCAAATTCTAACTGCAGTAGACATTAATAGGGAAACATTTCATTTACAACTCCTTTGAATTAACAATACTTATTAATTCTGAAAGATGAGGTCATAAATTAGAGCACAATGAAGAGTTTATGAATGTCCTTCTCTGTTGTGGTTTAACATGTCTTTTTACTAAATAAACAAGGCTAAGGATGAATTTTAGTTAGAAAAAGTAAAGAACACTTTAAAAAGTAAAGAACATTAGCTACACCACTAATCTTAAACAATAATAGCATTATCACATCAAGTCTTTCTCATGAAGAGAAAGAACTCAAATAATTCTTTTAATATCCCAGTGAGATGTGGCAAGCAAGGAAAATAAAGTTTTAAAAATGTTTAAAAACTGAATTTAAGATTATATACTGAATTAATTGGGGAGGCAGCAGTAGAAAAATTAAGTTTGCTGAATTCTAATCTAACATTCTTTCTGTAAAAGTAATGCTTTGAAGATTAATGAAGACTTCAATTCTTCTGATGTAGAGCATCCTTTTATAAAAAGATTTGAAAAGTAGTTATTATATAAGGATATGATTAATTTAAGAACTTTTAAAAATTTGATCCGTTATCATCAATAGAATAGACTTCCATGCCTAGAATTATTTTTCATAAAAAAAATACAAAAACAAAAAGGGAAAAGTCATATCCAGAAATTAAAATTTTCTTGTAGGCAACTACTTAAAAGAAGTTGATTTAATTTAGTCAATATACAACTTAAGAACATGTTTCCATTTGGTTCTGTCCAATTTTGCAGTACAGTAGAATGAGAAATAAACCACAGTGAGAATATGACACATGGAAAATAAAAGCCAAAAGAGCATTTAATTTAATTTGTTATTTTAATTAGAAATTTAAAAAAAAAAAAGAAAAAATATTACCTTCAAATAAACTGAGGTCTCTTCGTAGCCTTGGTCCATAAAGCCCTTCTAAAATACTTTCAAAACCTATTTTTTTTAAAGAAAAAAAGAATACATTAACTGCTGGAAATATTTAATAAAAACAAAACAAAACAAAACAAAACACCAACAAAGCTACCAAGGATTTTTTTTTTTTTGGTATGGAAACAATTAAAATAGCTATAGTTTAGCATACAATATGAGTATCATTCTTTTTCTTAGAATTAAATTATTACCACTACTCACAGTCTACTAAATCACTTTATGACCCAGGCTATTACACTGCTTGGCTTTCTAGGGGTTCCTAACCTGGAGTCCATGAACCCCAGGGAGTCTATGAAATTGGATGAGAAAAAAAATTACACCTTTATTTTCACTAACATCTCAGTAAAATTTAGCAAACTTTAGGAAATTTAGGAAACTTTAATTATTTAAAAAGAATGAGTAGGTATCCACAGGTTTCACCAGAATGCCAAATGAGTCTATGACCTAAAAAAAGTTAAGAGCCTTCTAATCAATAAATTGACAAGTCAGAAGAGGCAAATGTATTTAAAAAACAAACACACACCAACTGATAAAACATACAGAAAATTTTTTTTGCAAGAAGCTGAACATATGTACATCAGTACCAAATTTTTTTTTTTATAGACTTGCACAAAGTTGTAACAGGGAAGAACTGGAAAAAATATGGTTCTACATGCCTTTATTATAAAGCACAGTCACTTTGCAAGAAAGTCTTCTAAAACCTTAATTATAGAAATCAAAAAGTAAATGATTTGTCTGAATCTCTACTGTGAATTCAGACCCACTTTTATGGAAATTCAAACAAGTTTTCACTTACATGGCCACTGAAAGTCTTAGAGTAAAATATCATACTTAAAATGACTGATTTTAATAACAATAATCTTAACTTGGAAACTTTACAATTATTCTACTTTTCAACAATGAGTCTTAAGTGTAATATATGTTCTAAAAGCTATTTGCACTGTGTTAGTTTCTGGATATCACATTTTGACACACTGACAAACTTTAGATTTACCACCCCAGACTACTTTACATTGGACAATATGGACAATATACCTAAATTCTTTACTGCATCCTGTTCCACTCTCTGTAATTTTAGCATAGCAACCCTCAGTGGCTCAAGGGTGAGAGATTTGGAACCGATACCTGGGGAGCAGAGAGCTAATATTGGGAAGAACAGAACTCAGAAAGGAAGAAGAGTCAGTTTAAGTTTATAGGTTTCATTAAAAGTTCATGAGCTAGCAAAATTTTGCTGTGGACCAAATCATGAACCAGTAGTGGGAAACAACGAACTAAATTGCACATTCAAAGAAGGAAATTAGGATGATGAGGGATCTTCCAACAATACATGGAAGAATAACTGAAGGAACTGGGAACGTTAAGCTAGAAAAGAGAAGACCAAGAGGAAAATATGATAAGCTATCTTCTAATTTTTGATCAGCTGCCACAGAGAAGGAACAGATTTGTACAGTGTTATTCCTAGGGGACAAAAAGACATACCAATGAGTAAGAAAGTTATAAGGAGGCTGGTTTTAGATGATTAAGTTATAATTTTCTAGTGAAGGCTGCCCCGTATGTGAGCATTCAAGTAGGGGATGGATGAACAAATTGTCAAAGTGTTAAAAAGGGACTTCTGAATTTCATAGGAGTTTGGATTATAAATCTACTTTGCTATGACCAATGTTCATTAGTAGAGTACCAGCACAGTAAAATCATCTGAGATTCCTTCTGTGATAGCATGGATAAGACAATTTACATCCTATCATTATACAGGCCCACTGAACTTAATTTTTGACACATCTTTGGTTCTTTTAAGGCCAAAGAGAGAAGACAGAAAAGGATAATTAGTTGGTTACTCTTAATTTTTCACTAGAATATAATCTCTTTGAAAGTATGGAATGGTTTCCAATTTAATTTTGGAATATAATTAAAAGCCTAATATTCTGCAATCAACGAGTCTATAAGTTATATAGACAATCTGTAAGCTAACATGCCGTTATGTGGGAACAAAGAGAAATGGAAGGAAAAGAGTATAGTAGGATATCAGTCAAACACAACACTAAAAAAGCATTACATATGTTTAGAATCAAATAAAGTCCTTTTCCTCAAAAAACTCAAGTTCATAAGATAAATAAATCCAACGTCAATCAAAGAAATATATATACAAACAACTAAATTATATTCAAGCTAACAGAGGAAAATGATACAAGATCATTAAAAAATAACAAATATCCCCCTCACACAGTTCTGATACACACTGGTATTTAATCTTAGAATACATTAACTTTCTGGTATTCCAGAAGAACCCTGCATAAGAGTTATGGCATAACAAATTTATCTAATTTGTATATGGGTCTATCAGATGTTCTGGCAATTAGAAAAAAATCTGTATGGTTTCATCATTTTGAGGCAATTATGAGCTGAGAAGAAGGGGTGGACTGGAGCTTCCTCTAAGTTAAAAACCCCACACTGCTATGCTTAAGATATTAAGAATTATACCATCACCTCAGACTTTAGTGAAAGAAGTCTAAAAAAATGAGTAGCTCATCCCTTTGTTTCACAGGTTTTACCATGAAACAAACAGGAAAGTGTCAAACAAAGAATTTCATCTCCATCTGCTTAAATTAGGTTAATAAGAACACGAAAACCAAATTTAACACAGCAAATCCCCTGTGGATAAGAGTTGTTTCTAATTATAAAATTATACATATAAAGAATTGATGTGAGATCTTTCAGTATACCCTAAGATGCCTCATTTCCTGTCTTTTGTACCTTTAAGTCTTGAGTGATTTTGCTAGTTTCATTGCTTTCATGTAAGATACCTCTAACAGGCCAAACCACACCCACTACATGTTGCAAAATTCACGTCCTTCAAGATGTCTTTTATGACCAATCCTACCTTGACCACTTCTATCACAATCCCCCTGTACTTAGGCATATAGGCTTACAAAAACAAACAAACTACAATCCTTCCCTCTCCCCACATAAACAAACAAAGAAATAAATATTCTTGGCTACAGCAAGAGGGCGAAACGGAATTATAACAATCATGATTTTTTGTTAATTGAAAGTGATCTTAACAGGTGAATATTATACTATACATGGATCCTGGTGGGGGGAAGGGAAGAAGTGAGAGGGAGGAGGCAAAGGGAAAGAATTTTGGTCCAAGAAAGTAATTATAAAAATATAACTTTGAGACAGCCTATTAACAATGATGATAATGCCAGAATCTCACATTTAAATATCACTTTAAGGTTTGCAAAGCACTTAGCACATATTACCTCAACTGATCCTTACAACAACTCTATGAGGTAGGTGCTATTACTACCTTAATTTTTAAGATAGGAAACTGAGGGTGAAAGAGGTTAAGTGACTTGCCTGGAGTTACACAGCTAGTAGGTGTCTGTGGTGGAACTCAAACCCAGATTTTCCTTACTCCAAATTCAATGCTTTATCCACTATACCACAGCAATCACTTAGCTAGCTAGCTCTGGGAGAAGAACATAGAATGAAGGAATCATAGGCTGACAAATTTAGAAATGGACAAATTTAGAAATTCATTTTACAGATGAGGAAACTGAAGTTCTGAAATAAAAAATATAGTCAAAATTTGAACTTGGGCCTTTCTCTTGCCGTTTTTCCTTTGACTTTACCATATAGCAAAGATGGATAATTTTGGAATAAGATGGGAAGAAAGATGATAAGAAACTAGGAGCTTTAATCTATTTACTCATTAACCAAAGAACAAAGGCTGCCTCTGTATATTCAACTTACAGAAATGGTAGATCTGAGCAGACGGAAAAAAAAAATAATTCAAAAGGTTAATTCTGCTTTTTATCAGTGACAAGTTAAAGGTCCAAATATGCTTATCAAATCAGCAAATGACACAAAGTTAAGAGGTACAGATAACACCAGATTATAGTCAGTATCCAAAATGACGTCAACAAACTAGGACACTGGGATGAATCTATATAAATATATAAATTTTATATTTATATAAACAAAATACATAAATATACATATATAATATGTATATATTCATTTTATAAATATTTAATTATATAACATAAAATTTATATATTTATAATATATAAATATTTTTATTTTATAATAAAATTTAATAAGGATGAATGTGAAGTTTTACTCTGCTTATTAAAAAAAAAAGCCAATTTCACAAGTACAAAATAAAAAGAGAGATGGCTAGATAAGCAGTCTGTTCAACACATATCCGGGGGTTTCAGAAGCCTGAAATGGGAGGCAAAGCCTGTAGAAATAAGATGATAGTTCCCACTGTACAAGTGCCCTGGCCACACCACATCTGGAGTACTGTGTTCAGTTCTGGGCTCTACATTTTAGTAAGCATATCGAAATTGGGCCAATAGAAGGAAACCAGGATAGTGAAAGGTCTTGAGTTATGCCACATAGCGACCAGCTGATGGAAATAGAATTGTTTAGACAGGAGAAAAGAAGGCTTAACGGGAATATAACTGGCCTTCAAGTCTTGATTTCAAGGGCTTACAAAGAAGGCATTAGATTTGCCCCACTTGGCCCAGAGAGCAAAAACAAGGGGACAAATGGGTGCAAGTTGCAAATGTAGCTTTCTTGTATGGAAAACTTTCTTAACAGAGCTATTATTAAAAAGGAAAATGGGCTTCCTCAGAAGAATCAACTGATATTTATATAATGCTTTCAAATCTGGAGGGTAATGGCACTAGAGGTCTTCTGGAGTTGATTTACTATTCAATGAGGTAGTGTAAAAAGATTTTTAATCAGATACAGGTTGGGCTAGAAGGCCTCTGAAGTTGCTTCCAATTTTGGCATCCTGGCCATCAATTAGTTAAAGAAAAAGCTCAAAATTAAGATTAAATTATTAGAAAGGAAAAAGAAGAGATTTACTCCATGTGCCTAATTGCAGCAGTCTCAATCATATTTAAAAGTCTCTTCATTGTGAAAACTGGAAAATGGATAAAAATAAAGACATGAACACACACACACACACACACACACACACACACACACACACA